CTTCCTTCATCCCACTCCTACATCGTCAAGGACGGATCTAATGAGAGAAACCCCCCAAACCAAACAAACAATACTTTCGAGGCTATAAGAGTATCACTTAGCAAGAAGAAACAGATCGTTCTCAGAATCTTTACCAATGAACCCGACAGTGCTCTCGCCTGCCTCACCAGCAGAGCTGCTTCATTACATCGTCACATTCCAGCCCTATCCAACGACACTCCTCATTTGCTATCAACGACAAGACTTCATCTCAGCTCTCGTCTCTGACAGCCGCAAAAATATCTCCCAACATAATCATGAGCAGTCCGAAGACCTGCCTCCACTACCTCTCCTCTCGGCAACACTCCTCCAGACCGCAATTGCCCGTCACATCCGCGTCCTCTTCATCCCCAGCGTAACACATCTACGTGCCTTCTTGTCCGCCTTTGGCACGTCAGACTCCTTGATACCATCTCCACCAAACCACCCATCGTCAAATTCGAAGAGTCGCCCGCCTTTGCTCCTGGTATACGGGTTTCTCGATCTCCACCGCGATAGCAGCGAGTGGAGCGCGCAAGGCCTCAGTAGCTCGGCCGCGGTGCTCATCGAGGCAGCTCGCCGGGCCGACACCAAATTCAAACCCGTCATCGTTGAGCCTAGAGGCGCAGGAGGGCATGAAGACTTTACGTCACTGCTGCGGGATGATGCGCCGGTTTTGAGCGGGAGTTCAAGGAGGAGCGAGGGCGTCTGGATGGGGAGAACTGTCGAGGTGAGACGAGTATTGGGCCGCTGGTTTCGTTTCCAGACTGGCCGCTGGGATCTTTAGTGCTTGGCTTGCACAGAACCTCGACCGAGGCAACGATATGGGTCGAAAGAGATCGAAAGCTTCATTGTATCGATACGTTGGGCACGACCATGTAACACCCAGGTCTTTGCCCCTCTCCAGCATCTACAGAATCCAAACCTGCCTCAAACGCCAAACCCATGGTATCCTTATAACTCATTTCATCGTGGCAAAGTGACAGATAACCGACCCAAAACAATGATAATCTAGAGAGCCTGCTCCATCTCGGTAATGTATAGCTTGATGTGAGAGTCCATCTTGAGGAACTCATCGTAAGCACTGTGAATCTCGTTTTCAATGTTCTCCTTAAGGTCCAACATCTATTTCTCTTTTGTTAGCATCCAGTCCCATATCAGAAGATCAAGGGTAAATGTACCTTTTTCTCAGTTTGCTCAATGCGAACACGGCGCCTCTCAATATCCTTGCCCTTGTCCGTCCTCTCCTCGGTGAGCTTACGGTGAACAGCACGAAGCTCCTCCATCTTCTCCTTGGCGTCCTGGGCCTTGGCAGAACTTTGCTCGCGGAGCTTCTCGGTACGCTCGTTCCACTTAAGCAATTGCCGCTGCAGCAATGCCTCCGTACGCTCGACTTCTCGCACGTTGTTACCGCGCTCCGATAGTGCATCGCGTTGCTTGACATTCTTCAGGTTCTCGTCCTCCTCCTTGGCCAGCTCGGTGCCAATTTCGTCCAACACCTTGATGCATGATGCTACGTCCGTAGAGACCACCGAGAAGGAATCGGCTGATGTCTGGAGTGCGCGCGAGCGGCGATCGAGGGCCTCGATGTGCGACTTTTCGCTGTTAAGCGCGTTGCTTAGCTCTGTCAGGGTCGCCTGCAGCGCCGAAGGACTCTGCATGACGTAGGGCCGAAGCTTTGCGCTCTCTTGTTTAGCGGTAAGCTTTTGTGCTGTCCTCTCCTCCAGCGCTGTCGTGAGCTCAGTCTTCTTGACCTTTGCGTCTTCAAGACGAGCGGCCACGCGCTCCTGGTTACGCCGCAGCTCCAGCAGCCGCTGCTTGAGTTCCTCGTTGCGGGTCGTCTTCTCGCGCACCTGTGCCTCCATTGCCTTGCGGTTGCGCTTCATGTCGACAAGACGCGACTCCATGTCCTGATTCTCCGAGTACAGGCTCTCTATGCGGGATTTCGTCGTTTCGGCCTTGTTGAAGTGCTCGTCAATGACGCTTGTCTGAGATTCGCGGAAGCGCACAAAGTTGATCAGGTAACTAAAGATTTTGACAAGACGGTCGTGCGTGGGCTTGTAGAGGTCGTTGAAGCTGAAGTCCTGGATGCCGCACTCTGCTAGAAGACCTCGCAGAGAAACGTAGAAGCCCATCAAGTTGCGGGTGTCGGGGGGCACGATGTCGGAGTATTCGCCGCAGATGTCCTCAGCAGCAGCACGCATGGCGGGCTCGACGGTCTCGCGGGTCGCATTGAGGAGCAATTCGGCAAACCATTCGAAAATCATCTGCACCTGCAATGGGTTCGGCTTCTGGAGGTCGGCAACGTTGAAGGGGATTCCGATGTCTGTTATGCACCCGACAATCTCCTTGTCCGGCAGGCGCATGAACGCGTCGGCTTCATCTTCTTTCTTGCGGGTATTGCGCGACTGTGTCTGTGTCGCGGGAATGATGCTCATCCGCGGATTGTACGACATATTGGTGATTGGTTTGGGCTCCTTGGAGCGGTGATATATACTGGCTGGTCGAGCTTGGATGCGATGTGACAAGACGAAGGTCAATTCGATTCCGTAGGTGTGTCTGTAGATATTGGGCGTGGTGTTGTCGCGGTTAGGTTGGCATCAAAAGATTGCCGTAAACAGCTTATCGGGCTTGTTGCTCCGACAACCCGCTTCTTATCGATAAAGACCTTCGGGGCTACCTACCTTACTACGTGCCTTACCTAGAGTACCTCACCTTACGTAATGAAGAGTCACATGACTAAGAGCCACGTGCTTTCGGTCGTCTGACTTATTACCGGTGTACCTAGCCTGTGCTCCTCTGCGGCGCTCATATCTGCCACCGACTTCATCCCCGTGCAATGTGTACCCCTTTACTTATCGCATCGATGCGTATTGGTGCTGTATATCCGTACAGTGCATACCTGTAGGCATCTTAAAAGGTACGAGAGATCTAGTGCTTGCAGGCAGGTGCAAAGGGAGGTTTTCTTTTGCCTGTGTACTCCGTATCTACAGGGCACCTTAGATTCGGCGTGGCAGGTGCTTTCCGTTAGCGTGGCCTTGGGTTCATGCCTTCCTCAGTGACATCCAGAAACCCAACGCGACCTTCCAGAGTTTGGTCACTTGTCTGCCGACTCGCCAACGTCGCAGAACAATCTCAGCACTTCTCACTTCGCGGAGCTCCAGGAAACCTTGTCCCAAAGCTTCGCATGCCGCATTGCTCGGCACTGACTCGAGAGAAACACTGGTACCCTATGCCTAATAGCAACTTCGAAGCAACTTCATCAATCCGGGACTTGGCCGCACACCAGTATCATCCTCTGCCTCAAACTCGATCAAGACACCGGGTCATACAGTCATATTCGAAAGAAATACTATCAGGAATCCACTGCGGTGGTGAATCTCTCATGCCATGGCCTACACGGCGCCTACAAAGCACTACTGCTGGGCCATTACGTACCAAAATGAGAGATTCGGAGAGAGTACCAAATCGGATTCTGGATATGGACCAAGCGGTTCAAGAGGCGAGCCTAGAACCGTCCTCATCCCCTGCGCTTCGAAGCAGATGACCTCGCCTGCGTTCTCAGAGACAGAGAGGGCAATCGAACCTGGCCAGAAAGCTGTCAATCCCTAACCAAAAGGTGCAGAGATGAGCAGATGAACACACCCTCACAGTTCGCGCCAGCCGAGATCTGCGCTGAACCCCAGCCAGTTTCCGCCGTTCTCCCACATGGCGTCCAGGTAGTTCTGGGTCGATAACTTTGGCCAGACAAACTACGGACGCTGACCTTCATTTCCGCCTCGCCAAATGGATTCTATCCGTAATACTCCATGGACAAAAAGGGAGCCGTCTCATTTCGCAATGAGCCCTGTTGCCGTCTACCCATCGATATCGTTTCTGAAACGCCCCTCGCCGTGGGCTGTCATTGGCTGGAAACAACAGACTCCCATTGACAGAGGCTCCGAGCGTGAAACAGTTTGGATTTACTTTTCGGGAAGTCCCAGTCTAGCGTCACCGCCAGGCGCCAGGGGGGGATGTCATCAGATGAAAAGGGATTTATTTTCACCAACCATTATTGGTGCAAATCTTCCCTGACTGGCCAGCTATGTGAGCACTCAATTTTTCATTGCCAGATAGGAAGATGCTGCCAATCCCCTCTCTAATGTAGGCATTTAAGAGCTGTGAGTAGTGCCTAATGCTCAAGACCAAGCCTACCTGCATGAGCTGCAACCAGTTAATGATCGAATGAGCGAGCGACCATACTCGCTGAACAATGGTGGTTCATTCGTCAAGGTCGACGAGGGAGAACTAGTCTACACACCAACCCCGCCCTCGAAGCCTCGACTGGTGACATTGAAAGGATATTACGCCCTCCACGAGTCCATCGAGGCATCCAAGGGCGAGGATAAGGGACCATCGGCGCACGCTAGCTGATCCTATGTGCGCATGAAGGTGCTCAGCATCAAGCCAGTATTACCGACATGTTATCCTGCTCGGCTGATAAGAGCATGGCAGAAGCCGAAGTCGAGCAATGACTCCTGTCAAAACCGGAAGACGGATTATCGAGACCCATCAATGACCACGCTGCTGGCTTTACATTGCTGTGCCTGCAGCACTTGCATTATCCAGGGGGAAGCTTGCACTACGTGTCGAGTCTGACAAGTGCGAAAGAAACGATGTAGCCGACACCTGCAGCACGCCAGACTACTAAGAAGAAATGAGGCCTTATTAACCTATGTTTGGCATCTTTCACGCAACTGCCTGAAGGGTACTCAACCACTGCTTCGAAGTATCAGGCTATCTGCACAGCATGATGCGCCCCTGAGAACTATGGATGATGAAGCGAACTCAAAAAGCATACGGATACAGCACCGACGGATACATGGAAATTGGAAATCAAGCCCGGGTGGAAGCTGACGGATGACGAACTCCTCCGCAGCTACCTAATTACCCTACGCCGCTACGGCAGGCTGGCAGGTCGATAAGACCAGAACCCCGGCGCAATGACGTTGAGATGGGACGCCAATCTTAAAAGGATCGCCCCCAAGGCGGCTAGGAGTCGTCACCCCGGTCTGCCGCTGGCTCAAGTCCTCAAGCAGGCACGCAGGTAAAGCCCTTGAAGCCACACGTACCGATGATGAAGCAGTTGCAAGTTGCGACACTTGGACTTATGCCGCACAATCTGCAGCCCGCGCGCCATTGCGACGTCCTGACTCTTGGATTCAGCAGGGCCGACGCCATATCCTGGATGGAATGTCTACATGAAGAGCCAGCAGCGGCTCCCATGACATAATGACCGAAACTTTCGATATACAGGGCATATCGCAGCATCGCAAGTTAGGGATAGGTGCCCGCCGCCCGGAGACTGCCAAGGTGCTCATTATACAGGAACACGCACTTTCTTTGATATTTCGGGGCATCAATACTCTCCCACAGCAACTGCACTAGTCATGCTCGGGCAGAAATCGGCAGCGCGAACGACATGCTACAGTATGGCGGAGTGCAGGAGTTCACATGTTTGCAGTCGTGGCAGGCTACGGTTCCATGCGATGCATTGACAGCAGCAAATGTCCACAACACCGTAAAGCCAGTAAGCAGATGGATATGGCTCACGATCTCGTTAGACGGGGGCTGGAAAGAGACCCTACAGGATGCGAGTGTTGGTTCCAACTCCTTCCAGGCTACGTCGTGGGCGGCGAGTGCCGGGCCCCGAGGCAGTGGGCAGGCCGCAGCAAATACGGGTTGCAGCGTCTTTTGGCCAGCTTCTCCAGGGCTCCTGAGGACGAATACGAGCAGGAATTGAGGGTTTTCCAATCGAGGTACCTGCAGGTTCCCATCGAGCCAAGTCTTTCTCTCGTACAAAAGAGGGCCAGACTTCATGTAACTGCCCTCAAGCGGCGTTGTGCTCGATACGGCACCCGATGGCCTTGGCTACTCCATCACAGAAGTATTGGCGTCCCGCTCCGCAGGTAACGGTACTTTAGAGGAGAAGGACGATCCCTGCTTCAAGGGCAAATGGCCCCTGTTGCCTCGCAAACAGGCACGTTCAAGTTTTCCAACAAGTACGATCCCTACAGGCCACGCATACTGTGGGATGAGAGTCAAGGACCGGCCGGCAGGGCAGAACGTTGCGCAACCGTCGAACCGAACGGCAAGCCGCAACGTCCAGTCTCCTCAGTCTCTCGCCTGGGATCGAAGCTCTCGCGGGTGGCCAAAAGACACCGCAGCCGCCCCCGTAGCAACGCGGCTGACAGAGGTGATAGGGCGGGCGCTATTCTGGGAGCTGGAGCGGTCAGATGATGTGTCTAGAAGTTCCCCTCAAGTTCTCAACGGCTAAGGCCACTTTGGTCTTGGCTCATCATCTTTGTTCGCTTTGTCTACCAGGACCTCGAAGACGTGAAAGAATAAGCTTGTGCGCAAGGAGAAGGAATTGGCAGTCAGCCGGGCTGCTAGTAGGAGTCTAGCTTTCTCATTGCTCTAAGGCCCTTCCCAGTCGATCATCCGCCCGCAAAATGACGGCGGGACGGCCGGTAGTCATTGGCGTCAAACATATGTCAGTGTCACCGTCAACTCGCCCTAGTGGCTGGAGCAACCTTCAGGCCAACGCCCCGCGCACGCCTCGCCCTGTGCAGCTGTGGGTGAGCTGAAGTGATAGCTCAGTGGACAGAAGCGAAGGGCAAGATGACGGTCATACAATAGGATATGCTAGAAAGAGGCTAACGCTCAAGGACATTTCTCAGAATCAACGCAGCGGGCTGAGCAATATCTGGGGAAGGATGATGGCGCGAATCCTGAAAGAAAAAAAAAAAACGCCCTCCGACAGCGAAAGGTGGGCGCGATGGCGCATAGCAACCAACAGTGTTCGTGTAACTTTGCAAGTATGGATGCACAAACGGCACCAATAGCCACATCATCTGATGAAGAGCACCGCAACGGTTTAACAGGTTGCGGGGCGCTACTGTGCCGTGGCCGATGCGGCAAAGAGTTGTGGCCAGAGGGAACGATGAACTCTGTTTGCCCCCCTTCGGTTTCCCTCTCGGAATCCCACTGAGGGATGAGGGTCCGGAAACAAGGGCTTCTCCAGATTTATGTAATCCTCTCTTAGTCCACGGGTGGGCTGCCCTTGTCATTGAGCCGGCGGATTTGAATATTCTTGGTTATTTTAGACTCCCAATATGTGGCACAGCAAGGAACAGCACCATGGGAACACCGCAAGGGCATGTCCATTGACGGCGATTCTTAATTGAGGCTGAGATAGATCCAGTCCGTCTCAAATTCCAACTCCCGGATCTATCTATCCCTTTCGAGGGGATGACTCAGGGCCTGGGCGAATCCCCTTTCAGCCCTCGTCTTTTTCATAACGTCCTGACGGCTTGGGAAGAGCGATGGGTAGGCACAAAGTGGGTGGATGGACACACGCAAAGTCAAACAGTTCAACCGAGTAACAGTCCTGAGAAATTAACACAGCCCTACTGCGTCCACTACAGAGCAAACAGGCTTCTCAGACCTAAGCTCTGCGTACTCGTGGAAGACGCTGCCATCTATCACTCGCCTCCCGGAGCTCTAGTCAGCAGCATTTCAATGGAGCCGACTTGCAGCCGCCAGCAACACATCTGCTGTCTGACTTATTGCAGAAGTAAACGAAACCTAGGTATTCGTACAGAGCATTGGTACATGTCGCTGCAAGATCTGAGCAACCGCGGAATACGGGACTCGGACGGGTCTTCGGCGCGGATACGAAGCGATAGCGAAGAGGTGCAGCGGGTATCTTGACTGAACCCCTCCCACATCCCTTCTTTTTACCTTTTTCCTTCTCTTTTTAAACTTGCACATACGGGCTTCTCGCGGTACATCGCGCAGGGCACGGCGGCAGCCAGGGGGACGGGCCCATGAGCCCACCGTTGGAGGTAGAACGAGCAGAAACTTTAACACATATAGATACTGTACTACTGCATCGAGAGGCATGCTGGAACCGTTACGGCTATGATCTATCGATAACTAAAGATGGCCAGCCACTCAACACTACGGACCAGCACGATTCCAGTCATCTTCTGGCTGTCAAGCCACCGAAAACCACAGAATAAGACAACGGCATATGAGACAAGCCCGGGGGAAGACCAGAAAGGCCTCCAGACGGTGAGACATTGGAACTCCAGGGGCTGGATGTCAGACCTGCGAGTCGTCCATAGAGATCCCAGTACTTCGTGGTCAGAAACATGCAAAGCCGGACCCGTGGCCCGCTCGCAGTCAGTCAGGCCAGGAACCAGCGCCACGGCAGACTCGCACTGCATCGCATCGCATCGCATCGCATCACTGTCTGGATTCGTTGAGGGCTCCTTTCTTGAATCTTGCGTCCTGCCCTGGCTGGACCTCTCTACGAGTACACGCTCTCTCACACACCTCTCAGTCCTTCTTGACCTTCTCAGGCCAGCCAGACCGGGACAAGACCAGGGCAAGCAGCAAACCAGGGCAGCACTTGGAGCCGAGCAGCAGGTGGTGTGCTAGAAAGCTGGTTGGGTCCACTCCGTTGATACCGAAGCAGAAAAAACTCGCGACGATCAGGCCCAGTCCTGGCAGTCCCTGATCCCATCGACGACATTGACATTCCCCCTGCCGGCAGGAGACTTCGCTGGCGTCTGGTGGCCATCTATCCCTCGTTCACACAGACACACAGGCACAGCACTGGTTCCCGGAAAACCACGCGAAGCACACGTCAACGTTCTCCTGTGGTTCCTCTCCTCCAGTCTGTATCTTCGCACCAGACTGTCATTGGTTATGAGGACTGCGAGATCCATCTCTGTACAGATCCAGTCCCATCAGTCTCGACAACTCGAACTCAACTCGACCTCAAAGAACGGAAGAGACACATGGCACGTTGTCCCTGGGGACCCATACTGCGTATTCATCAACCAATTGACCAGTTGCCAGTCCATTAAAAAGCTAGGGGAAGCAGGAAGAAACACAAAACGCAACGCACCCTCCAACCCTTGGGCACACACCACACTTTGTCCAGAGAGTCCTGGTCAACCCACACCCCTTCCACCCCCTCCCTCTTCCCACCCCTTCACCCTTGAGTCCTTGACCGACCCTTGACTTTTTCTTCCAGCCCAAACCAACCAGCCCTGGCCGTCCCATCCCTCCTGGTCTGATCTGGTGGTCCCCCAAAGGTCCCGGCTTATGCTCCCTTGCCCTGCCACTCGATGGCCTAGTTCGGAAAGGTACCGCAAGGTACCGCTCCAGCAACGGCGCCGGCAGAAAGCTACATACTAGCAACGGCGCCAGCCAGCCAGCCAGCCCAGCCAAGCAACAAGTTCTCCCCCAGTCCTTGCCAGGGTTCCCATCAGCAGCAGCAGTAGCAGCAGCAGAAGAAGAAGAGGTAGAAGCAGAGGCAGGGTCAGCAGCAACAGCAGCAGCAACCACCAGGTCAGGTCGACCCAGGGCAGAGTCCAAGGAAGAGAGAAGGTGAGTCTTGCTCAGGCGTGCCCCGTCTCGTGTCTGAGCTCTTTCGCGAGAAGCCTGCTGGATCTGTGAGGGTTCCCCCATTCGTCATTCCATCATATCTAGCCCAGCTATTGCCACTTTACGAATACATTGGTTGCATATGACTATTTGTCCCTCTTTTTAATCCTCGAACTAAGAAAGGAGAGGTACTGTACGGATACCGACCTTGCTTTTGCTATCCATATTGCTCCGTCACTCCCGTACCTACGGACACCACACTCTTAGTCTCTTGTCTCTCCTCCCCTCCACTCGCTTTAAACAAGCCCGGCCAATACCCTCTCCTCCAAAGACCCAATCCCATATTTGCTGCACAATCCCGGATCCTTCTTTAAGCAGACAAGCTTCCGCATTTCCTTTGGCTCGGGACAACCCCAGCACACCTCTCGTTTTACTCGTCCATTGCGAAACTGGTGGCGATTCTGGTCAGCAGGAAGCATTGAGATCTAAACGAGACCGCCCGTTCACCCTCACTGATCACACACTACGGAGTACGGATACCTTACGGACACACATATGCTACTATTCATCGATATTGAATAATACGCCAACGATCATGCAACCATTCAGACATTGGTCCTTTGACAAACACCCCAGCATTCTTCGATAACTCATCACCACACACGTACTCTGCCCATTGACCACGACGCTTTTCTCGCGTTGGCTGATGGGAAAATGGCCCTTTGGCCCTTCCGCCGGAGGAGCGGTCGCAAACGCTCGCGAAGCGGCGCAAACCTCTCAGATGTCGAGGCACCACCAACATCATCCTCACAAGCACGACATCTCACGGCGGTCGAAGCCACTGCGCCGAGGGCGGCCATGCCGAAGAAGCAGCGCCTCGAGAAGCAGCAACCGGCGCCCAGAAGAGAACGCACCTACAGCTTCTCCCCCGGTCGCAATGACTCCATCCGTGTCGCGGGGCAAAAAGGCTCGGTTCCACTAGGACCTGGCCGGTCGACAGGGCTCTTCCCAGCCGACCGAAATGACGGAGAAGAAAAAGGGGATCCCGCGTGGCAGCGGGCGCCAACCCTACATAATGCACGCCACGGCCAACCGTCGAGGTCCTCTCGACGCAAGACCAGCAAGAGGAGGAGAGAAGAGACGGATCGTGAGGCGGAAATCAAGGCCATGGCAAACTTCGCCCCGGTACGACCGGCGGCCGACCCTTGGACGTCAGGGCGGCCCATTAGGAAACAGAGCAAGAGACTCAAGACCGGCCTCGGCTTCCGTAGGAGCTTCGAAAACCCGCAGTCGGACGTTTCATTACCGATATCGATTCACTCCAGCATGTCATCCGACACGGAGCTACACTCGTTCCGAGTCTCTGCCCTCGAGGCACTATCGCCCCGACCAACATTACGATACGCAGTATACCCACGATGGGGTCCCGGACATGGTTCGGCGCCATCGCGCACACAGCAACAGAAGAGGAAAGTTTCAGAGAGGGTGCCCGAGTCAGTTGTGAGGGCACACAAGAGGGTCGATAGCTTTGCGGATGATTTGGACGCCGCCGACCTGAGAGAACTGATGGAGAGGGATAACAGGAGGCGAGAGAGGAAACGCCAAAGAGACCAGGAGCGGATAGAAAGGAGACTGGCACGGAGATCAGAGAAGCAGCGCGAGGCCGTGGCAGAAGCCCGTCACAGCGGGTCACCGCCGCCGGTCAACTTGGAACGTGGTGTTCTCGGCCGCGAACTCGGATTGGGGATCGACGCAGCGTCTGCAGTGGTTACCTCTTCCAGGAGACGGTCATGGAGTTCATCACGACAATCGAGAAAGATTTCAACGACCAAGGACTCTGAGCCGGAGCAGGAGCAGACGCAGGAGCAAGAACAGGAGCAGGAACCGCAACCCGAGACGATGGACATCGAGCCGGAACCAGCGGCCATCCAACACTTTCACCGGACGACCAGCATCCCGCCAGAGGCACCGCCCTCGCCGACGCTGCCTGCGCAGCCCGCCCCAGAGCGCAAGACGAGCACGAAACTTACGCCCAAGGCCAGCATGAGATTGAAGAGGAGCTTCCTGCGGAGGATTTCAAGATCAAGATCGCCCAATGCCACAGAGTCTGACCAGCACGCAATCTCGCAATACTCGTCAAGACAGGATGAGGGCGAGATCTCCCGCAAGGATACTCGCGCTCGCATCTCTTTCTCGGCGCTTTTCCGCCTGGGCAAGAGAAACAGGAGAAATTCAGGACCGTCTTCCTTCTCGAATACATCGCGCGAGACAATGCAGGCATCAGCCGCCGCCGCGCAGATCTACTCGCAGTCGGCAACGCATGTGCCCCAGCAACAGGAAGAGGCGGCCGCGGCGCCGGTACAAGTGCCGATGCCAGCGATCCCCCCACCTGTCAACTACATTCCTCGCAAGGTCAGCAACGGCGTTCCTAAGCGGACCAGGTCGCGCTTCAGGGAGGATTTGCCCGAACTGCCCCTCAGCCCACCCGACTCGCGTGTAGGGTCCCCGGAAGTGGAAATGCCTCTGCCCGTTGTCTCAGAGTCCAAGTCGGGAGAGATTTCGCAGCAGGATACGCCTGCCGTGAGACACGACACACCGACATCAGACCTGCGACGCGTCGATGAGAAGATGGAGAAGCTGGAGAAGATGAGGCAGACGCCCACGTCGCTGCGACACAGCATCCAGCCATCCCCCGAGCCTGTTTCCCTTGCGTCTATCGACTCTGAAGGATCATGGCTCTCCGGCCGCGTTGGCGTCCGCCGCTCGTCGGGCATGCGCGGCAGCATGCAACGCCTCCCGCCTCAGAACGTTAGCCACTCTGCATCGCCCAACGATACGGAGGAAGAACTCGCCGACGATGAGTACCTCTCCAACCTCGCCACGCCGTCCCGCGAAATGCTTGCCGACGAAGAACGTACCCCGCGCAAGTCGACCGGCGACGCGTTCCCCAGCAGTGACGAGGACGAGGTGATGGAAGATGCGGATATGAAGTGGGGGTCGGTCGACAGGCAGCGCGCCACCGTCGTGCAACATCAGAGGGTCAAGAGCCGCGAAGGCATGCTGAAGTCATATGGAGAAGACGGCATGTCGTCGCCCGAGGGCTCCGAAGAAGGCGAGACGCCCCAGCTTCAACGCGCCACGAGCGTGAGCCTCAGCAGGGGCAACGCCAGGCATGTGAGCGCCGGGAGCACCAAGATGCTCGAGGTTTCGCCCCGCTCAAGCGTTGACCACAGGAGGAGCACTGACGCAGTATTTTGATGAGATTGTATTTCGGGGGATTACTGAAGATGTTTTGCTAATGAACAGGGGAAGATGAATCGCCAGCCAAGCCTATGAGACGTACAATCACTCAACATTTCCTTATTATCTTTCTACGTCGAAATATATATCGACACCCGACGCTCGCTATCAATTTCTTTACAACTCTATCTATCCACCGACCATATTCACTCATTATATACTATTTCCTTGCCACGGACGACAAAACCACAAAAACACTTGGAAAACGACAAAAATCCGGATATGCTCTCAAACTTGGCTGGCTTCATCGACTCCTTTCTACATCTTCGCCCTCGCTCTCAAAAATCTATGCGACTCTTTCTCCTCGCCGCCTATAACGACACCCAATACCGACCGACGCGGAACTTGCCTCGAGAGTCGTAGGCTCCTCTTCGATTCATCTGATGTACGATACGACCTTAACGACCCGCACCTTTCTTCTTTCCGCCGACGACGATGACGACGCGTTCTCTACGTACGCGTTTTCGTGCGGTGGCACTTGTTTCTTCGTTTCATGTTCTCGGGAATACAACGTTTGATACCACATCTCCTTCCACCTTTCCACTTTCCCCCACAATCCTTTTCCGAAGGAAAATGTGGGAGGAGGAGTAGGAGGGGGAAGCGAGATGATTTGAGATTTTTTTGTTTCTTCAATGTGACCCTGTGGAAGGGTCACAGTTGCGCACCCAACAACCAACCCCTTAGACCGGCAGTGACAGCACGTCTGCGCACTCCTTTGATGAATGCTCTGCGGTTCTCTCCGAGGAGACGGGAAAACAACCTAGATTTGGGGATGGGGAAAACAGCACGAAAGGAGGGGAATTCAGAGGAGGATAGGGAAAAATCGGAAAAGAGCGAGCATTCGCGGCGATGCGCTGCCATTTTGGCTAAAGGGGAGGAAATCATGTATGTAGTAAAGGCATAACAGCAGGAGGGTTTTCCTGGATGAGATACCCGAGTAACTCGTGTTCTGGAGTAGTGGTACACTGTAGGTGTATCAGGTGAATGAGAAACCTTGAAACGAACGTATTTGCTCTGAACACTCTAATTTGACTTGGCGTCCTTTTGCAATTCCTTCTCTGTCATGTATCTGGTCCCTCTTATATAGAGAGAGCCGGGGTATCTCTATAAAAGCCACGCATTGTTTTTGTCTACTATTATTTCCCAACCTCATTTGAACAAGTACCTCCTTCGAGCTATACTTCTCTATCCTAAGTTTCTCTATCCTAAGTTTCTCTATCCTAAGTTGCTCTTTCCTCAGTTTCTCTTTCCTGGCTTTCTCTTTCCTTCCATTATGACTATCATCGTCTATACGTTTATTAGAGAATACTCTCTGGAAAAGGCCTGGGAGACGGACTGGGCGAGAGCGATAACCTAGCCCCAATCGACGGCGACCAATTTCCTCCTCCCCCATCCGAGCCAGATCCTGACGCTGAGCCTGGTCTTGGAGTAGGAGGCCTATCCGCGAATTGCATCTCGGCGAACTGATCGTCTTCGAGAATGTAAATATTGGCAAGCTCGCCCTGCGGAAACTCGCCAGTCGACGCAAAACAAAACTTATCGCACATGATACGGCGAAAGTACGAAGTCTTGTGTCCTGCGCGACTCGCCGCTACGAGCACCGGCTCCAAATACAATCCAACCCGGGTACGCGGCGAGGTTTCGTTCGACCGGCCGCTCGCACCGATCGGCACCACAAACACGGTCTGTGGAGCCGGACTGCCACGGGGCCCGCCGCCTGTAGCAGGCGTCAAACGCACAAGGTTGGCAGTGATGCAGAGGCCCATGTTGGTCATGCTGAACTCCCGAAACGGAGACGGCGGGAGCAACGCGCGCTGGTGGACGTCGTGTGAGTGGGCAAAATCGGCGGGCGAGTCGGCGAGCAAGCCCGACGTCATAGTTCTGGATCGGCGTTCGCCCGTGTACGGGTCCACAAGCTGCTGCTGCGGATCCGCCCTCCACGCGAAGATAGTTTCGTCGGGAGATGCCCGTATGATCTCGTGTTGGAGACGTTGGAACGCGTGCTTGAGCCCTTCGCCGTACAACACGGGGATATTGACGCCGAAGAGGCCCATGAGGCAGTAGGCTAGGTCTTCTGCGCGGGTAGTCTGGCGATTTGCTGCCCAGGACATGCGTTCTGCGACGGAATAGTCGCGCGGGTGGCGAGTTTTGGCGAGGACAGATTCAAAGATTCCTGTGATGGAGGAGAGGGCCTGGATGAAGGGGCGTTCATCGGTATGGACACCTTTGGTTCCGAGACGGGACCAGTCCGAGGTGTAGAAGATTGTCCGCCGGGGCGCGATGAGCTCCTGGAGTGTCCAACCGCGGGTGAACCACTTGGAAGAAGCGAGTGATGAGAGCCGGTCCATGGGAGGGGACGAGGATAGGGGCGGTACGTCGGCGAGGTAGACAAAGCAGACACGGGCGAGGAGGTAGTAGGTGTACATGGAGTTGATGGCTTCGGACAGCTCTGCGGAGGAGGTTTTGTCTATGCAGCAGGAGTCGATCCAGGCCCATCCAATGTTGTGACGCAGTGCTTGAGTGCAGCATCCCTGGATTTTGATGAAGCCGGCTTTCTTGGATGCCAGGGGCAGGTTTTGGATGTCTTGGAAGGTCACCTCATCGGATCCCCAAGTATGGGAGAGGATGGCGTAGGGGGGCACAGTACTGCCGATGATGAACATGCGCGGTTCGTAGGTGGTTGTATCGAGAAGCCACATATTGATGGTGATGTCTGTGGTGCCTTCCTCGTCCCTTCGATCTCGGTACCGAAGCCTTGTTATTCTGTATGGAGTAATCAGACCAGGCAAGGCAACCAAAGGTAAGTGCTGTAGAGGCGACGGGAGAGATGTATTACAGCGCAACAGCCTCGTACAACTTGGACACAGTCTAGGGTGCTACCATGATGAGTTCGACCGACGCCTTGTTGAGTGACTTAGTGACAAACGAAGAGATGATTTGATAGCAATCCTGGTGTTTTTTTGAGAAGCTCAAGTAGAAGAAGGCAGACTGTCACGAGACGGGAGCATACGGCTTGGTGATTAGAGGTGTGTAAGTCAAGTGCGGTGCGCAAGTGGACACAGGTGCCCCGCCAGCTCCCGAGTGACATCTGGGGGAGGGGCAGCTGAGGGAGGATGCCAGCTGGTGGTAAGGGTCATGCGGATGGCGACGGGTGGCGATGCATAGGCGTTAAGCTAGGGCCTGTCACCCCTGGCAGCTGCACGTGCCTAAGTTGACCTTACGTAAGGTACCGGTACAAGCACAGAGTATCCGTAGGTACAAGCACGCAACAACGGACCAAACAGAAACAAGAAGAGAAACATCAAAAGGGCCCACTCTTGCAGGGCCCGGACCCCGACGGAAGGGCCGCCATCGGCGTCGGCAATGCCACTGCCGCACTTTCCCGGTTTGCTCTTCAGGGGTCCAGGCGGGCACAGGCGGGAAGTCCAGGGTGGGTGGATGTGGGTGACTGCCAAATGAGTGTGCTGGGAGGGTGTGTGACAGTGTGTGCGTGTGTCCATGCCGCCCTACGCCTTTGGGGCATCATCTCGGCCATACTTCTCGGCATACCCTTCCTTGCGCAGTAGGTAAAGTACCAAGAGTAGATTACCTTGGACGGAGAGACGTCTTGCAAATCTCTCCCTCGACAACTTCGACTATGATCCCTCAATAACACCTACCGTACTTCACAACCGAACCGAACCGAGCATGGCAACGACCACAACACTGTTCCGAGTGTTCTTGCGCCGTCAAACACTCGGAGCCCAAGGATTGCGAAATCGCTTGGCACAGCAGCAACAGCGCCGCGCCAACTCCAGTTCCGAAGTACCCAAGCCGAAGAGGGCAGAGGATCCTATTCCCGTGCCAAACACCATCACCACAATCCCGTTATGGCAGCGTCTCGGGCCCTTGACCCGCGCCGGGGAGGGTTATGCCCGAGCCCAGCGCAAGAGGCCTCTGACGACGCAGTTCATCAGCTCCTTGGTCATCTATTTTTGCGCCGACCTCTCGGCCCAGAACATGAGCGGCAACGACTACAACCCAGAACGGACGATGCGCTCCCTGATCATTGGCGCTATTTCTTCTATTCCCAGTTATAAATGGTAGGTTCGGTCATTCTCGTTCTCGTGCTCGTGCTCGTGCGTGTGCTCGCAGCTCCCGTGTGGTTTCCGTCTATTCGAACAGCGACTGACGCAGTATTGTGTTTGGCAGGTTCATCTTCCTCTCCCAGAACTTCAACTATGCCTCGAGGCTCCTCTCGCTGGCCACAAAGGTCGTGGTGAACCAGGTGTGCTTCACACCCATATTCAACTCGTACTTCTTCGGCATGCAGGCGTTCCTTGCTGGCGACAACTTCGACCAAATCATCGACCGCATCCGACAATGTGTGCCCGTGAGTATTGTTAACTCGTGCAAGCTGTGGCCTGCCGTGACGGCCTTCAGCTTCTCTTTCATCCCGATGGAATACCGCAGCGTCTTCTCGGGCGTGATTGCTGTCGGATGGCAGACCTATCTGAGTTTCTTGAACAGACAGGCTGAGGTCGTCGAGGAGGCAGAGGAAGTACACGAGAGATCGCATGCGGTGCCGGCCATCGCTGCTCACGAGAGTTCGGTAAAGATGGAGGCTTGAACTTTGACGACGTAGAAGAGAGGAGCGGAAAGCATAGATATCCTAGACATTCTTTGGCAGCATCATTTTCTTTTGTAGTGCATCGGGACGGCGTTGGGCTAGACGGAGACGGACCATACAGACATGGAGAACGTCATGATCTGATACGATTTTATTCTTAGAAAAAAATACCTTAGACTTTGTACCGTGTTAGCCGACACTGTACTGACACTGTACCCTCCTTGCCAGAGCGACGCCAAATGTGCACCCCAAACTTCGCGCCCATTCCGCCTTCGGGCCCTTGACCTCGTCCAGATCACAACCCTCAAAACCTACCCAACGCTGAGCCATTGAGTGCTGGCCAAGACCGGCAACTCTTCTCTGCAATGGCGTCCATCTGCCTGCGATCCTGCCGCGTGCAGTCCGCCCTCCGATCCGCCAGAAATCCTACCACCGTCCGCCCCAGACTCCCTAGCAACATCCCCCGACGTCATGCTTCTACTGGCACCGGCTCCTCGACGGAATCCCAGGCCGGTTCGGGTCTGAAAACTGGCCTGTACAGCATTGCTCTCGTCGGTTCCCTCTACGTCTCCTATCTCTATGTAACCGATACGAGGGCCTCCATCCACGCATTGTCACCCATGTTGATGCGCTTTGCATGGAGCGACGCCGAGGACGCTCACCACGCCGGCACTGGCATGATGAAAACTCTCTACGATCTCGGCCTACACATCCGCGAACGCGATAGAACCCTCACCGAACACCCTGCTCTGGCGACGGAAGTCTACGGAATGAAACTGTCCAACCCCATCGGTATCAGCGCCGGCCTCGACAAGCACGCCGACATTCCTGACGCCCTCTTCGCCCTCGGTGCCGGCATCGTTGAGGTTGGTGGCTGCACGCCCCGCCCGCAGGACGGCAACCCTCGCCCGCGTGTCTTCCGCGTTCCCAGTCTCGACGGCATGATCAATCGATACGGTCTCAACTCGCGGGGTGCCGACAGCATGGCCATCACCCTGAGGGAGCGCGTGCGCAAGTTCGCTCGCAAGGTTGGCGCGACGGAGCAGGAGGTTCTGGACGGCGAGGCTGGTGTCCCTGCTGGCAGTTTGCTTCCCGGCAGATTGCTGGCTGTGCAGATTGCCAAGAACAAGGAGACGGACCAAAAGGATGTCAATGCCGTTGCTCAGGACTACGTTTACTGCGTGCAACGTCTTGCTAGGTATGCCGATATCCTGGTGGTCAACGTGAGCAGCCCAAACACCCCTGGTCTCCGCGACTTGCAGGCCACCGAGCCTCTGACGAGGCTGTTGAGTGCCGTGGTTCAGGAGGCTCGCAAGGTCGACCGCAAGGTCGCCCCCAAGGTCATGGTCAAGGTCTCCCCTGACGAGGAGGAGGATGCCCAAATTGAGGGTATCGTCCAGGCTGTCTGCAGCAGCGGTGTCGACGGTGTCATCGTGGGCAACACCACCAACCGTCGCACAGGCATCGTTCCCCAAGGCGTCAAGCTTACTGTCAAGGAGCAGAAGGCGCTGCAGGAGACGGGTGGTTACTCGGGACCCGCCATGTACAGCAGAACCCTGGATCTGGTCGGAAGATATCGCAAGAAACTCGATGCCCAGACCCTCCAGACCGGCTCGGCCGAGGAGGCGGCTGCTATTCCTGATGTTGACGGCTCCCTCTCCGGCAAGCTTCACGATTTGATCGAGGGCAAGGATACACCGAGAAAGGTCATCTTCGCGACAGGCGGCATTACAAATGGAGAGCAGGCGCTCAAGATCCTCAATGCGGGCGCCAGCGTGGCCATGGTGTACACTGGCTTGACGTACGGCGGACCGGGAACAATTACAAAGATAAAACGGGAGATTAAGGACCAGGCGTAGAATACCAACTTAACAAATAGAAGATTGACTGCTCAGTGCAGAATAATCCGGGCTCTTGACATTTGCTCTCATCGTATGAATCGAGTAGATCAAATGTGCGGACCCCGAGAAATCCACCCCGCCGACTCTTGAGGAGACTACCCCGAGAACTGAGCCACCGCAACCCACCATAATCTTAACCAAACAATTGATGGAATCGCGCATAGTAGGTTCCTCTCCGCAACACAAGTTTGAAAGATGTTGATGTATTATAATTTGATTGCCTTTGCGGCGTTGTAAAGGAGGGAGAAAAGCAACTGCAAAACGCCCGACTCCGTGTGACCTGGCAGCAATCGGCGCCTATCAAGCTACCCTTTCCTGCGTACAATCATATTCTCCTGCCACCTCTTTTCCACGATGATGCCGTTGATGATGCCCTAGCAATGCAAACCGCCGATCCTCCTCTAAATGCTAGACTGAGACCGGGTACTATGTCTACTCCTGGCCCGCGAGGACAAACTCGGGCGCATTCTCAAAGCCGACAACGGTTACAGGCTGAAGCTGAGCAAGCTTCACCAGCTTCTCGCGGGCTGCCTCGTTGAGCTTGACCACACCATTCTTCTCCTCGCGAGGGCGCACCTCGATCCCAGTGGGGTAAAGGTGCTCAATCTCGACATCCTCGCCGAGCTCAAAGAGCTCAGACTTCTCACGGAAGCACCAAGGACGGCCGTCTCTCATGACCAAGTCGTGCGTGTCGCGGACGTCCTTGGCGTGCAGAGAACGGTACCCGCCGTCTAGGGAGACGGCGATGGAGCTGTGCCAGGGGGTACGAGGGAAGCCGTCGGGGTTGTGCTTCTCGACCAGCAGCGGCATGGAGAGCTTGACGGCGCCGCTGGAGGGGTGGATGGAGAGGCGGACGTGGTCGGGGCAGGTGGCGAGGATGATCTTGGTGAAGGACTCGGCGCGCATCATCATCTTCATGGCGACCTCCTTGACAACCTTGCGGTACTTGTGACCCGAGGTGGCGTGGGCCGCGACGGGACTGTTGCGAAGATCCGTCTCGAGGAAGCGGATGAAGCCGCGGTAGGTCATGAGCGTGTCGTTGTCCGTCTCCATGAGGGCGCGGACGTCCTTGTCCGGGTCGCCGAATTGAGCCTCAAGGGTCTTGCGGCTCTCGTCGACAAGCTCCATGTACTTTTCCTTGGTGAGGGGCTCGTTCTCGTTGGTGAGGCCGAGGAAGTCCATGACGCGGAGGAGCTTGATGCCGTCGTAGCCCTTTTGCGCTGCCATGTCCATGAGAGTGGCGCCGTACTCCCAGGTCTCGTCGTCTGAGATGCCGACGACGTCTAATCGGCGAGTTAGATATCGGACACACAAGTATAGCTATCCAGGAAGGAAAGGGCTTACCGTTGAAGACCAAACCATCAGTGGCAATGTGAACCTCGGCACCATGGGTGTAGACCTTGCCAATCTCAACGCAGAGGTCGTTGAGTCTTGCAAGGGCCAGGTCCTCTCCTAGATCAGGGAGAACACCCGTCACCTTGTCGGTGCGGTTGATGCTCTTCCATGGGAAGGCAGGGATGATCATCTTGACTGACTCTCCCTTCTTGACGTACTCCTCAACACGACCGTGGAACATCTTGCGTCCAAGCCACTCGTGGTTCTCCTGGCCCTCGGGGATGATGTGTCTTCCGAATGCTTGGAGAACGTCCAGAATCTTGTGAGCGACTTGCTCAGAAGACTGCTCGAGGGGAGGTGTGGGAAGTGTCTCTGTGATGGTAGGGGCATCTATATCCAGGGTGTTAGTTGGATGGCTCTCGAAGCAACAATGATGGATGTAGCTCACCTCCTTCAACGACATCGTCGATGACAGCATCGATGCTGGCATTTCTCAAAGGGCTATGGAAAGCACTGAAGGGACTTTTCGTTGCGCTGACAGGGCTCCTCAACGTCTGTTCAGGAGGCTGCAGGTCGACGGGGTCAATGGGAGAACCGATTTCAAGGTCGGAGAACTCGACACGCATCTGCCTGAGAGGGCTGAGGGGGCTTCTTAAGTCTGAGACACTGAGGGGAGAGATGGAGCTGAGGGGGCTCTTGAGCTCCGAGCCAAGACTCGGGCGTCTGTAGGTCGGAGCACGGAGCTGGAGAACCGGTCTCGCCATGAGTTTTCCGGTGGAGGCTGCCGGCTTCTTGGCGTCCGTGGGAGACACGGGGACGGGGTCTGCTGCGGAGATGGCCATTTTGATGATTTGCTTAGGTATGGGAGAAGGAATTGAGGAGAGATAGGGAAAGCGAATACCGGAAGACGATGGCAATGAACTTAAGAAGGAAGAAAGGAAATGTTGTTTGATCGTATTAGAGGAAGAGGATGATCTGGGTTGTAGATAATCGATATCAACCATGGCTGGTCTTGGAGATTCTTCTTATACTTGAGATTCACTTTAACCTGGAATAGGTAGGGACCTCCTCAGAGAATGCCATCTGGATATCTCGTAGTATTCCGCATGCATTCAGGACGCTACTCGGAAACTTTCCCATTGTCGAAGCCCGGGCTTGAATCGCAGTGCACCGTGGCGTCTAGGCTGAGCTACCACAAGCCAAGGCTGGAGTCTGGCCATGGATATGCATCGTTACATGGGAGTGGCCGTGTCTGCATGCACCTGCAGAGCGGCCGAGGGTACGCGTTGCCCTTCTCAATGGTCTAACTACCTTTACCTGACTTGACTCAAAATAAGCACACCTGATGGTCCCAGGCTGGAGGCAAAAGGCATTGTCTTACCTCGTGTCGGCGATGAGACTAGGTCAACACCGGCTATACCGGCATGATGGGCACGAGTCCTTAGCTTTACCCACTGCTCGCGCGTGCGTCCCCTGATTTTCATGATTGCCAAGAGCAGATGGGAACTTGGTGGTATCCATGAATCTTGTGGAGGCCCTCCCACGTTTGGAGGCTTTCGGAACGTAACACAACCTAGCCCTAACCGTGTCGTTTGGCTGAAGAGGCTTGACTTGGCTGTCGGCTACTAGTCCCAGAGCAGGTCAGCCAATGGATTGACACGTCTGGATTAGTCCTGGCCTAAGTGCTCGAGCTAAGCCCATCCGATTTTAGGTTCGGGAAGCTGGGAAAATGATCCATCACCAAATGTGTCTTGAGCTTGTTGGTTCGCCCGTCGCATTCCGGTCATCTCTGTTGTGTGTCCTATTCAGCCAGGCTGAGCTGGTATCGCCGGCGCCGTGAGCGAGGCGCTGATCTGGTAAACTCAATTACATGCCGTATCCGGAGACTTTGGGTAGCTATTTTCGATTTGCCGTAAAAGAACCAATGGCTCGGTATAGCATTCTGCGTCTTGAGCATCTCGATTTCCTTTTGTCGACATGATAACCCCTCGTTTTCTGTTCTAGTTGATCCACAATCGAAAGTTTGGCATTCATTCCTCGAATTGCTTCCCATTCTTCGGTAACTTTACTGAACCAACTAGCTTCAAGTTGCTCACATTTCGGGTCGCCATGATGGAGAAAGATCTCCCAACTCTGCCCATCGTCCAAAGCGTGCCATACGATGAGCACCATCAACTGGCACCTTCCGAGCACCACGCCCACACCACAAACTACAACCACAACCAAGTAATCATGTCCAACAACGACGAGCATCATATCCGACCCCAAAGCCAGAGCCTTTCCGAAGGCCAACAACGATCACTACAGGCAGACGAAGAAAAGGCTGAACTAGTTCCTCCCGTTCTTGACGGGCCAGACGGTGGTTTCCAAGGCTGGCTCCAAGTCCTCGTCGCATTTCTGCTCGTATTAGACGGCTTCGGTTTCATCACTGCCTTTGGTGTTTTCCAGGCCTCATACGTCAAAATTTTACCGGACAGTTCAACCTCCGACATCTCATGGATCGGTTCGATGCAAATATTCCTCCTTTTCCTCCTAGGAACCCTGAGTGGCAGACTCATCGACGCCGGCCACTTCAGAATTACCTTGATCACCGGCATCGTCTTCCAAGTCGGAGGCATCTTTGGAGCCTCATTCTCCAGCAAATACTGGCACTTTTTGCTGTCACAAGGCATAGCCACGGGTATCGGCAACGGTATGCACTTCACCGCGCTCGTCTGGCTGGTCTCGCAATACTTCACGAAGAGGCGGGGTCTAGCGCTCGGGATCAGCTCCTGCGGTGCTCCCATCGGTGCCGTCATCTTTACCATCATCGCTCGTGAGATGATCCCAAGAACGGGAATCCAGTGGACGCTTCGCACTATGGGTTTCTTGGTTCTTGCTGACAGCATCGTCATCTACCTCATTGCGCGACCTAAAGCTGCGACCCGCAAGGGTGGTCCCTTGCTCGAACTGTCAGCCTTCAAGGAACTGCCGTACCTCTTATTCACCGTTGGCATGTTCTTCGCCTTGTTGGGCGTCTACTTCGCATATTATTATGTACGTATCTTCACGGATTGTCTCTTGCCATTTTCATCAGAAATGATAGACTAACATCTTCCTCACCAGGTCCCCCTTTTCAGTCGCAACAAGCTCAACCTCGATGACAGCGGAGCCTTGACTGTCCTCATCGTCATGTCGGCCGTGGGCATAATTGGTCGACTTGTGCCCCCATACCTCGCTGACAAGAGCATCAAACCTCTCAGAACACTCGTTATATCACTGCTTTTGAGTAGCCTCAACGTCTTTGCCTGGATCGCCGTGAGCTCCATGGCTGGACTCTACGCCTGGGTCATTGCATACGCCTTCACCGCCAACGCAGTGCAGACGCTCTTCACGGCATCGATGGGCGAGGTCACGTCGGACATGTCAAAGCTCGGGGTACGCATCGGCATGGTCTTCACCATTGTCAGTTTTGCTTGTCTCGCTGGTCCACCCATTGGCGGAAGTCTTGTTGGGCTGAATCACGGCGATTTCCTCTATGCGCAACTATTTGCTGGCGCTTCCATGCTGCTGGGTGGCCTTTTGGTTGCACTTGCGAAGATAAAGCAGGTTGGACAGAAAGACTTTTGGCGGATTTAAGACTC